GAAAAGCTAGGGTTTCTCAAAAATTTTATCTGGTTCCCGATCCGATTCCGCTGCTTTCACTGCTTATCGAGGTTCGAAGTTCTCTCAGTCTCTATAATTTTTGAGCTTTTTTGCATGTGTTAATCTGCTCTTCGAATGCCTGCTGTAGTTTTCGTTTTGAATTTTGATCTGTTTTTTTTTTCTCTCTGATTTTCGTGTATCGACATTGTTTAGTTTTTTTTATTTTTGATTTCATTTTGCCTGATTTTAGTTTTATTTTTTGCTCTTTTTGTGTTTTAAGTTTTCTGCGTGATGTTTATTGCGCTAAATCCAATTTTTTTAATTCTTTTATGTGTTAAATTAATCATGTTATTTTAAAAAAAATTAATCGAGTTTACTGTTAGCTTTATGTAAATTGTAACTGAAATTTTCATGTTAACCAGTTTCTAATGATAATTTTCGTAGACGAATCCCCTTTCGAATGGTATAGTGGTAAGATTGATCAGGGTTTTGATCTGCAAGATATATAGAGTAGAGATAAATCAAGAGACCAATTTTTTATGGACTCTGATTTTTTTGTTCGTTTGTGTGTTTGGTGCATTAGGTTACGAATTAAATTTATTGAAAAGGGAGGGGTCGCGTTTTTCCAATCATGAGAACTTCATGGGCGGATTCTGTAGCAAATTCTCAAGGAGAGAATTCGACTGCTGGTTCATCTGACAATAACAGCTCATCTCGCCCTGCACGATCAACTTATGTCCCACCACATCTTCGTAATAGGCCGCCGTCTTCTGATGCCCCGGCTCCTTCACAGCCTGCCCCATTACCAGCCAATGACCGCGTAGGTTACAATGGGCCTGCGCCTGGCCCTGCCTGGGGTGCTGGCAGTTCTAGGCGTGATGTTGGGCGCCCGGGATATGGTTCTAGTGGTGGTCGAGGTGGTGGTGGTTGGAACAATAGAAGTGGGGGATGGGACCGTGGGAGGGAGCGGGAAGTAAACCCTTTTGCTGATGAAGACATCTCAGAACCGACGTTTAGTGATCAAGAAAACACAGGCATTAACTTTGATGCTTATGAGGATATCCCAGTGGAAACTAGTGGGGATAATGTGCCACCACCTGTGAATACTTTTGCAGAGATAGACTTAGGGGAGGCATTGAATTTAAATATTCGGAGGTGCAGGTATGTGAAGCCAACTCCTGTTCAGCGTCATGCAATACCTATTTCTCTTGGAGGTAGGGATTTGATGGCTTGTGCTCAGACGGGTTCAGGGAAGACAGCTGCTTTCTGCTTTCCAATTATTAGTGGAATCATGCTGGGGCAGTTTGCTCAGAGACCTCGTGGAGCACGTACTGTGTACCCTCTTGCTCTTATTCTCTCACCTACCAGAGAACTCTCTTGCCAGGTTAGATTGTGCTTATGCCAGTAACATAACATGTATTCTAGTGGTTTATAGGCAAAAGCTTATTGTTTCTGTTTTGGCTGGTTTGCAGATCCATGAAGAAACTAGAAAATTTGCTTATCAAACTGGTGTCAAGGTGGTAGTTGCTTATGGAGGAGCACCAATAAACCAACAGGTTTGTATAACTTGACTTTGACTGTGGCTTACTGATACTTTGGATCCTTGTCTACTTGCATGTGTGTATGTATATATATATAATTAGTTGTGGGACCCACTCTACCTCGAACTTCAACAATCCAAACCGTCTATTTTGTAAATCTCAATTCAAAGATAATCCTTGCAAAAACTCAATTCAATCCAAAACCATTTACCTATTTAATTGTCACGATGAAATTTCAATGTTTCTTTAAACATAGTGTTTGTCAATTTCTATAAACTCAATTAGATGCCTCAAATATTTCCAATTTGGCTAATATTTTGCAAGTATGATCTATTAATAGACGGTTCGGATTGTAAAAGTTCGATGTGGTGTGGGCCCCACAACTAATCCCCATTTTTCTTATTTGTTTCTTCATTTTCAAAGTTCTTTATTATAGAATGAAGAGTGAGTCTGCGAACAAATCATTGAACATAATTTTGAGGTTGTGGTTATGGTTTTTTTTTTTTTTTTTTTTTTTTTTGTGTGGGAGATGTTTTTGGATGACTTGTATTCGGTTTGGTCCCTAGCCCATTCAAAGTATTAAACTTGTAGGAAATTTGGTTTAGGTCAATAAATAATTTCATATTTCGGTATAGATCAATGATCATTTCATTTTCTATCATAGGTCAGTTAAAACAGTTCCCCTTTTCAACTAAAGTCAATACAGCAATTTTCCTCTCCAACTAAGGTCAACACCACTTGCTTAACTTTCTCTTCATTGATATCTCTCCTAAAAGCACAAAATGTTGATCGACTCAATCCTGTTGTGGAAAATTTTGTGACCTCAAATAAATTATTATTATTGATGCCACCTTCACTTTGTTTTTTGTTTTTGTTTTGATGATTCACTCTTGTTTTCCAATATTGTGTCAGTTGAGAGAACTTGAGAGGGGAGTTGATATTCTTGTGGCAACACCGGGACGATTGGTAGATCTGCTTGAGAGGGCAAGAGTGTCATTGCAGATGATCAGATATTTGGCTCTTGATGAGGCAGATAGGATGCTGGACATGGGTTTTGAGCCTCAAATTAGGAAGATAGTGGAGCAGATGGACATGCCTCCCCCAGGTTTGAGACAGACCATGCTGTTTAGTGCTACGTTTCCAAAGGAGATACAGGTGTGTTTTAATCGTTAGCTGGGTTCCCTGTTGGATTTTTCTTTACTTATTGACTTGTATATAGTCATATTAATGCAATATGAACATTCTATATAGTCATATTGAATGCTGGTTAAAGTTGTTCCAAACAGTGGAATTCCAAACTGAAAGTATCTGATAGCTTTTACAAATTTTTGTTGGAATGCAGCGACTGGCATCGGATTTTCTTTCAAAATATATATTTTTGGCTGTTGGAAGGGTTGGTTCAAGTACTGATTTAATTGTTCAAAGAGTTGAATTTGTTCATGAGTCTGATAAACGAAGTCATCTCATGGACCTCCTTCATGCACAGAGGGAAAATGGAGCTCATGGCAAGGTAACATGGAAGGAAGACTCTATGTTAAAGTTCTGTTGATTCTTTTGAAGAATTGGTATATCAGTATCCTGCATTCTATTAATAGTCGTTTGTCATTGAATTTGCAGCAATCTCTGACATTAGTTTTTGTGGAGACAAAGAAGGGAGCTGATGCATTAGAACACTGGTTGTGCATGAATGGGTTTCCGGCAACTACTATTCATGGTGACAGAACACAACAGGTAAATTGTTCGGAAAATTGATCTTTTAGTCTATCAGAAGTGATATTTGTTTCCTAATGTTTTGTGTCTGATGTTATTCATCGTGAAAAAAGAAGTTGATCTCTCTCTCTCTCTCTCTCTCTCTCTCTCTCTCTCTCTCTCTTTAAAAAGAACTTTGTTGAGCTATTTTGCTGCTCTAGCTGAGCGAATTATTCTTCTAGTTTTCCTGCAGCAAGTTTTAGTAATTCTGAACCATCAATTTTTCTTTCTAGTCATGTTCTAAACCATCTTTGAACCTGTGAGACTTCTCCTGTCTGGTTAATACGTAAAATTTCCAGTTTGCTAAACTGGAAGAAATTTATTTGGTTACATTGGAGGGAACAGACACTAGACATATCCTAATCCTAACTCATTACCCCACCCTCCACCACTTAAGCTAACCCCAAGGGCAAACTGGAAGTAATTTCATCACTATGAAATAGCGATTCTTAGTAGAAAACTTCACTTGGTTGTAATTGTCATCCTTTTTTTCCCGTAGTATTTTATGATGACCATGCAAGTTTAGCATTAACCCGGATCCTCATATTGTTACGATGCGATGTACTTATATGCAGGAAAGAGAACATGCATTGATCATTCAAGAGTGGAAATACACCAATTTTAGTGGCAACAGATGTGGCTGCACGTGGTCTAGATATCCCCCATGTAGCTCATGTGGTAAATTTTGATCTTCCAAATGACGTTGATGATTATGTTCACCGGATAGGTCGGACAGGGCGAGCCGGCAAGTCAGGATTGGCAACTGCCTTCTTTAATGAGAACAATCTCTCATTGGCAAAACCACTCGCTGATCTAATGCAAGAAGCAAATCAGGAAGTACCTGCTTGGCTTACTCGTTATGCATCAAGGGCTTCTTATGGCGGTGGAGGCAGAAGGCGATCTGGGGGAGGTCGGTTTGGTGGCCGTGATTTCAGAAGGGACGGCTCTTCCAGTAGGGGTTCAGATTTTTACAGTGGAGGAAGCGGTGGTGGTGGATATGGCAACTCTGGTGGCTATGGTGGCGGCTCTGGGGGTTATGGTGCTGGCAACGGTGGTATGACCAGTGCCTGGGATTAGTGCTTCCATTAAATACTGGATGTTGTTCGTCGACTTTTTCTTTTTTATCCGAGTATATAATATTATCCTCATAAAAATTAATGGACTATGCATTTTGTTTCCTTTTCCTTTGTTGATTTTCTAGTTCTAAATTTTCTTACGTGGTAACTTGAATGTTGATATTTGAGGAGACAGGAGAGGATTGTTAGCTAACCTAGTTTTGTGGAAGCACCTCAGAGACTTGGGATGTTTAGCCGTCCGTCATGGCTTCCCACATTCCGGGCTATTTTCCGCTAACGTGACATCATTTTACCATAAAAACATCAACATTGGAGCTGTTTATTCTCTATATCATCATTTACAGACTATATTTACAAAAATTCAATAGATTTGGTTAGTCATCTATGTGAACAAAGAAATTAACAGCTCACCATGAGAACCGTACTTGTTACCTTAACTGTCAAGTTGTTCGACAATATGTATGGCTAAGTAGTATTGAAACCGAATGAATTTTTCTACAGATGACCCGATGGTAAAGGAAAAGAATAGTAGTTTCGATTATACTTATTCTTCGATATAATACTTAGTGGGAAAAAGCTTTGTTGTTGTTGTTGTTCGATATAATGATGTCACATTTAGTGGGAATGAGGAAAATTCTTGACGCAAGTATTGTCGAAACATAAGTGGAGAAAGAAGATAGCACAAAATACACATATATCTCTCACTATGCAACGGCATAAGAACATTGCAAAGAGGCTGATGCAAGGAATCAAAATAATAACTGCAACTTCGTATCATTAGTTCATGGTGTGGCATAAAAGTTCAATTGCGTGCCATGTAGCTTCACACTCAATTTCAAATCCACTGTTGGGAAGAGTTTGATGATTTCACCTCGAAGGTTCTTCCTGCATCCTCGAAACATCGCCTTCGTATTACACTTGAAATGCTGCACCACTTGAAGAAAGGCTGAAACATAATATCATTCAGATGAGCCGTCAAGATTACAGACACGTTACGATACTTCTCATGTTAAAAAAGAGATGCAACTGTACCATGTTACGCTATTCCTAGTGTTATCGGAACTGTTCATGTTACTGTGTCTCTCTAAGAAATAACATGATCTGATAATATCTTTCGCGAGAACAAAATATACGAGCACCTAATAGCTATCGAACCAAATGACAACACAATCAACAAAATTAGAACCAAATAATTCCTTCGGCTTTATCTCAAATAACAACCAACCAATCTACAACATTTTGGGAATCAACCCAACACATGGATACCACAGAACATAGCACGTTGTAGATTTTGTTTCCACAATTCAGTTTGAACAAGGATGTTTAAAACAGATTTCAAATGCTGCTATCTAGACGCTAGAGTACTCAAACTTCATCCTAAACTTTATCCAGTAATAGTTTTATATGCCATGTTGTGGTTTCCACAATATTTCCCAAATCGAAAACTGAGAGACCGAAAGTATGTACAACGGTTTGAAGTTGATATTATAACATTGTATTGAAGGTCACGTTACAAAACGTATGGGAAAGTGAAATATGAATTTGGGAAAAATGTATACAAAACAGAAAGCATTCTGAACGGAACTTGGATTCTTTGACGATTCCATTTTACTTAAAAGTAAAAAAACCAACAAAAAGCAAGCTTGCAATGTTTCAAAGATTATTTTTGCAATTAGGTCAGAAGGTTAAACCTAAACTTCATAATCAATACCATATTGTGCAGAAAAATTTAAACATCTCAAGCAGCAATCCCGAAAACAAGCTTTTTAGTACAGAGATGAGAGGACAAAAATCCGTTAACTAAGAAAAATCTATGAAATCAATCTTTCTGGTGAAGTTTCTTACTTTAAGGTGAGTGCAATTCACATGGAATGTAAGCACAATGTCTAACTTCCGATACAAACATCAATCTTCATCAGACGCTTCTGAATCTGAATTCGATACTTCATCTTCATGGCATTCATCACCTGTTCCAGTCTCTTCCTCTTCGGATTCTTCCTGCCCACTTTCACTCTCCATACTGTTAAGCAAAATCTCTTCCGGGGATAGCATGTTCACACCTTTACCCCGATAAAGAAGCCCAGTTCTCATGACGTAATAGAACTTCTCTCTCAAACTTGTGAGGGGATGTGGGTTCACTAACTTCCCTCTATGGTACCCTTCCCTGAGTGAAACAGTGGTTGTTTTACACTTCAATGAGAGGTAGAAAATACCCGGATACCTTGTGAAGATTCTCGTAAACTTATGTGGAAGATTCAATTCCTCCCTCAAGCTTCTCAAGTAGTTCCTCTTAGTCTTCTTATGAAGAGTCAAGCTCAAGAACTCATGCAAAACTCCAACTACCCTTTTCTCCATAAGATCACTCTTAGGATCAATATGCCTAGAATCCTCATATGGTGAAATATACGGTAACTTCTGGAACTCCTCCATCCATGCCCTAACCTTCTTCTGCCCACCATAACCCCTTGGAAAATTCATCGGAAATGCCAACAGCGTCTGCCCCCTTTTGAACTGCCTATACTCATCCCCTAAATCACCAACCTCTCTACTCCTCTGCAATTCCGAAACCGCATACTCTTTAGGCCATTGTATGGCCTTCAAGCATCCGACCCCATTCGAGGCCTTAACAATCCGAAAACAATCAGGGTATTTCGGAACCAACACTTTTTCGAAACCATCAGGCAAACCCAGATCCCATTTCAAAGGATACAACGATTGGAGAGGTAAAGTCTTAGACTTTGTCATCATAAGCACTCTACAGAGCCTCTCCACAGTGTCACTCTCATGGGTTTTGTGTATACTTTGTTCTTGTGAATCCAACAACAATGCTGTGTCTGTTAATTTGAAACATGGCAAATTGGCGTAACGGGCATGTGGGAATTCTTGGAAAAGAGTTGGATACCTGCGGAGGAAGCGGAGGACGGGGACGGTGAGGCCGAGGAGCTTCTGCCAGTCGGCGAAGGACTTGGCGGTGAGGAAGCCGGTGGGGGAGCGCTTGATTGCGTCCTTGAGGAGGCAGGCGGCTTTGAGGTCAGTCTCGGTTTCGATGACGTGGTCGATGCTTCGGTTTTTGACCCATTTGAGGCGGACTTTGGTTATGCCCCGCCGTTGGTGGTGGCGGTGGAGGAGGAGGAGTAGGTTGGTGGGTGAGGAGGAGGGGGTTTGGGGTTTTAGGAGAGAGAAGATGAAAGCCTTCATTTTGCTCTGGGTTTTATTTTGGGGCTGAAGTATTGGAATGCCGAGTACAACATGAAATCCAATGTAGACCAATATTTTTTATTTTTTATTTTTTTTGGATTTAGAAGGAGGATTTTCATAACAAAAGATAACGCAGTTACCAGAGTTGTATGAGGGCATTTTTAAGTGACAAATACATTGATTTACAGATAATTCTCACAAAAAAAGTATAAAAGTAAACTCCTAACAGCTATCACAAGCAAGCATAAACACCCCTTACAAATCCACCACAAAGACGACAGATGCAGCATACCTATATCGAGGTACACACAATGTCATCGCGGGCAAGCGAGCCACATCATTCGCTAGGCGAGACATCATTCGCTAGATGCAATATATACAACATACACTAATTTAAAAACAGAGTCCACCATTAGCTCATCTCCATTGATTGGATCCTCTCTTATGTAGACAAATTGTTGGTTTTTAGGAAGGAAATTGTTATTAGCACTCCAAAAATCTTATTCTACACTCCAAACTTTCTATATTAGAAAAGAAAAATACATTTGTGAGAGTGTAGAATAAGAATTTTGAAGTGCCAATAACATTTCCGAAAACTTTCCTTGTTTATTTGGATTTTACATCCTTTAGACAATAAATATATTAAGTAAATACATACACCGTAATCAAGTCTTTATATTTTGTTAATATTGTTAGTCCAATCTGATATGTAAGGAATCACTTCCAATTTTTTGCCCAGGGGTCACTTCCAAGTTCCAATTAATTTTTCGTCCAATATTTTCATCTGTCAAATTTTATGTCAATTTGCTAATGTGTCATATGGAATGGCGTCAAAAGTTTCTTTTAGCTTAGCTATGAAATATATTACAAAAAGGGTTTGATTTGTGGTATTTTTCTCACTTGGAAGTTGAAAAATTCGTAGTCAACTCACATAAATGATGAGTTTGATACCTAATCATTTTAATTGACTTATTGTGTGACTTAGCCGAAATCTTCTTTAGAGTATTGTCATATAAAACATCTACTCATCTATGGTTTTCTTCTAAAAAAATCATCCAAATCGGATCATATGACCATGATGATTATTTTTAAATAATTACATGCCTCAATGATTTATAATTTATCTAATTTATTGTTAACATTAAATTAAAATATAGACAATTTAACCTTATTTGTCAAGTTATTTTTCTCAAATGATCTGAACTATCTATTCTTGAACTACTTGGGCTAGGCCTAAAAATCGGGTGTGCCCTGCATAACAACACATTTTTGGCCCCAAAAAATACAAAAAAAAAAACAACGCAAAACCAGAGTCGCACTCTCTCTCGCTCTCTCTGTGATAAAAATGGAGGAGAAACAAGTAGAAGTAGGTGAGGAGGAAGTAGCTTGGAGCAGAGAAATCATTCCCAAAGTTCTGAGAATAGTGAGCACAAGACTGCCGCAGAGAGACCTCATCTTTCTCTTGCTAGTTAGCCCATGGCTCAACGCAACTCTCGTCTCCTGCCCTTCCATTTGGCTGGTACTTTTTTTTTCCCTTCTTTTTTCTCGACTTGATCCTTTGTTTTTGCTTAAAAATTGAAAATTTGAGATGGGATTTTTGACTGGTGTATTTTTTTATGTGGTTATGTGTGGGTTTTGATTCTTGTTTCAGCATCTGGATTTTCGAGAGATGAATAATGCTGGGAATCGCCTTGTGGATGCTCTTTCATTGGTTAGAAGTTAGATGTAGCAAATTTGATTGAAATTGTACTTGTTTGATACCAGCATTCGATGATGTAGGGGTAAATGTTAGCAAAAAAACATTGAAATGACGATGTTTTGGCGATCTTAGCGCAAAATAGTGGCTTTTTTGTGCCAAGGTCATGTTTTAAGAAAGAAGAAAGGATGGTTGGTTTGTCCATTGTATATAGAAGTTCAATAAAAAATCGATCTTGAATGATGCAATAATGGTATTTTTGAAATGATTGGGATGTAGTGTTTGCTTCTTGTAGTATTACAAAATGCTTCAAGTGAATGATTGTATTGATAAGGATTCCTGATGCAATATTTCCAGGCAAGATATCGGCATGTGAAGCATATAAACCTTGAATTTGCACAAGACATTGAAGACAAGCATCTTGAACTTGTAAAGAGCAAGGTAACATTCATTCTGGTATGAGCTTGCGGCCAATTTTATATTTCAAAGAACTAAGAAGTTATTGATTTTCTGGTGTGCAAGGAAAGGACGTTGTAATGATAATAACAATAGTAATGCTTGTGAATATTAGAATGTTTATAATTGTAATAATTTTTTTTACTCCATTTTTGCACTAAATTTTAACTAATACAAACACCAGAGAAGGTGCAGTTGGAAGATTGTTGATTTGCCAGCGTCAAGGCATTATAATGGGTTTTAACGAGTCTGTATTGTAGGGCACTGACACTCATATGAGCATTTCTTGCCACACATAAAGCATACCATAAAACAGTTTACCTATGTCCTGTCAGTATTTGTAAGGTATGAGAAGCATGACAGGGTTAGGACTAATCAAGCTTGTGATTAAGTCTAAATTTTGGGTTAAGCTTCAAGACTTTATATTTTCGACTTGTAGAATCAACTAAGCTTCTGTTCTTATCTTCTAAGTTATTTGTGGTTTCTTGAGTTGGGGGATCTTACAGCACAAGACATGTTTTTGTAGCATGATATTGCAATGGAAAGGAAACCAGTTACTCTACTAGACCTAGCTTTTCATAACTTCTATCCCTTGCACAGCAGATCACCTGTTATTATAATTCTCATGTTCCCCTCAAAACTTGGAATCTGGATGAGCTGGCTAAATGTAGTCTTTATAATACTTGTGTCGAAGAACAATGAGTACTTGATGAAGTATACAATATTGTTCATAGACAAATGCTTTTTGATACCTCTGATTGTGTAAAAGAAAATTACGCATTTTTACAGTGTCAAGATTCTCTTCAAGATCTGGAGGTTATGAATCTTAATGGCTGCCAGAAGATATCTGATAAGGGAATTGAAGCTATAACCAGTGCTTGCCCCAGTTTGAAGGAATTTTTGAGCTATTGGAATGTGAGGTATTAAAGTTTGATTTGTCTTTCAAATCTTATTTCTAGTTGAAACTTTGTTTGCTTTCATTGAATTTGGGAACATGCATTGAAATTCAGGGTAACAGATATAGGTTTAGCGCACCTGGTGAAGAACTGCAAACATATAGTTGATCTGAACGTAAGTGGCTGTAAGGTACTTGTCACTTGGTCCCATCCTATTTCAGTGCCTTATGAGTTGCAAAAGTATACACTTTGAAACATATATGCATAATCTGTATGGTTTCTATTCAACCTTATCTTTGCAAAAGATTGGTTTTATTGTCCTGAAGTAGGTTATGGTATGCTTCAGATGTATCCCTTATTTAAGTCGGTACCGTAGGTGACTGTTATACGTTATATTGGCTAGTCAACCTTTAAGTTTTAATATTTATTTGTGAAGAATTTATTTCAATTGTTTATTTTGATGTGGAAATCACAGAACCTTTCAGACAAAAGCTTGCAATTAATTGCTCAGAATTATCCAGAATTACAGTTGTTGAACCTGACAAGGTAGGAAACACTGATCTTAATCACATCATCTGGCGAAAAGTTAATTTTGTAAGATTAATTTTTTTTATCTGCTTATGTGTCACACCGACCACACTTAGTGGGATAAGGCTTTGTTGTTGTTGTTGTATGTGTCACAACAGGAAATCACACCAATGATTTTTCGATTGTGTGGTTTCCAGTTTATGACCTAGCTGAAAATGGAATTGCTTAGCTATGACCTGACATTCTAAATTCTTCCTCTAAATACACTTTACCTTCTACACAAACCAGTGGTGAAACTGATTATCCTATGAAAAAACCGCAACCTCCCTTCCATGCTTACATATTATAACTTTTTATTCACAGGTGTGTCAAGTTAACAGATTCTGGCCTGCAGCAGATATTGCACGGTTGTCCTAGTCTCCATAGTCTAAATTTGTACGCCCTGTCAAGGTATTTGATAGTCTCTGTTTGTAAATTTGAGCTAGTTCTTCTTCTTGTATTTTGATTGGCTGTATTCTGTTTGCTTAGCTTCACTGATGAAGCTTACAAGAAAATATCACTTCTTTCCCATCTTAAATTCTTGGATTTATGTGGCGCCCAGGTAAGATTAACTAGATTTAGTTTTGCTGACATAATTCTTTTGGAACACTTTACCAAAATGATGGTAAATAATCATGGAGTCACATTTCAGAATCTGTCAGATGAAGGGGTGGGTTGTATAGCTAGATGCAAGGGCCTTCTTTCTCTCAATTTGACATGGTAAGTTGGTAACTGAAGCACTCAAATAAACATGTATATGAAACAAAGGAGATGCATTTCAGTTTCAAAACCAATCTCCGCTTTCTAATAGGTGTGTACGGGTCACTGACGTGGGGGTCATAGCCGTTGCGCAGGCTTGCACATTTCTTGAATTTCTCAGGTAATCCGTAATCTTGATAAGAATTTTAAAGAATGTAAGGCTCAACTCTGGTCTCTGCATTCTTGACTTGAGAAATTTCAAACTCTGGTCACTTATTCAGTTACAGTATATTTGAATGTCTTTGACAGCTGGGATGGAATCACAAGGTTGAAAATCCTTTGACCGGTCTGCAAAAGCAGTCACTAATGTTGCTTATCTTCTTTATTTCTTTATTTAAAACCCATTTAGAGACCTAGAAGACATTAGATTGAGCTACAAAATTGCTTTGTGTAACTGATTAAATCTAATTTTAGGGTTTCCCGTGCAGTAAGCCGTATAATTCAATTAAAAAAAATTAAATAAAGTGAAGTTAGGAAATTTCACAGTTATTTTGAAAACCAGAGTAAAATCATAAATGCAGCAGAAACAGAAAAATTGACATTGTTGGATACTTTTATTTTTAAGTAAACCTACACGGTTCCCATGCTGTTGAATGAAACCTGCAGACATTTCAGTGATCTTACTGACTTATGAATGAAACAATGCAGCTTGTTTGGGATAGTTGGGGTGACCGATAAATGCTTGGAGGCCCTTTCACTGACCTGCTCAAACACACTCACAACTCTTGATGTTAATGGATGTATTGGAATTAAGGTTAGTTTGTATTTGGTAGAACTTTTAGTTACTAAAACTTTGACCAATTTTTTTAATTGTAATAATATTCTTGTAGAAACGGAGCCGTGATGAATTGCTTCAGATGTTTCCAAAGTTACGATGCTTCAAAGTGCACAGCTAATGCTCTGAAAACTTGCAGATGAACAGGTTCGGTTTTCTTCCATTAAGTGGCTTTAGTAGATAAGAAATGGCAATCTGTCCATTAAAGAAAGGAATTTTGGTTCTTGAAGCTCCGTTACTTCATACAAACTTTAAAAAGACAGGAATGATAATCGGGTTTCCGATAGCTGTTATCTTTCTTTCATATTCCAATCTTTATATGCTAGTGACTCTTCCTAGATTGTGAGTTTGAGGTTAAGGATTGGCAAATAAGGAAGTCCGTTCACCAATGTTTCGGGGCAGTCCTCATCAGTACAAGTTTTAGTGAAATGCTTATGTGCACTGACTTGTATTACATTAGTCGTGTTGGTTTGAACGAATATGTTGGCATTTGTCTTTATGATTAAGTTATAACCATTTAAACATCTTTATCCATTGCCTTTTGTATGTTTTTCAGGATTAGTCTCCGGGCTCATTGATAATAAATCGAAGGAGATGCGAGGGTGGGTGCAGTGCAGACTTGCGGTATTTCATGCAGCTCGACTACTGTCATCTTCAGTGTATCTTAACTTAGGAATGTTACGGGTCTGCGTCACACTAATTGAGCTGTGGTTGGAATGGTGCAATGTGTATCACATTATAATTCATGTTAAGATTGTTTATCTGGGTGACAGAAACCAAATGAAGTTTGATTGCGGCGTTATGTTTGTAGTTAACGAGTTTCCGAGCAGCATCTTTTTTTTCATTAAAGTCCCCCCAGATATTTTGTTAGGTTCGTAGCCAAGGCAAGGCAGTCACTTTACACAGATAAAAGTACATTTTTTAGCTGAGACATGGTCATTGTTTCTCTCATCTTTTCATGTCTTTCCATCCCCCGTCTTTTTTTTATTTATTCTCCCTTAGACGAATACAATTTAAATTTTCACGGTGTTTTAAAATATTCAAACTTATATGCAAGAGAGTTGTAACAGAGTTTGATCGTGGCCGGCCTGCATCGTTGTCGGCCGGAGGTTTCGCTTATTGCAGGCACGGCATTGATTTCAATTCTAGGGTTGTGCCGGCATCATATACTCTTAATCTCGTCTCGAGTTGTGCCTTTCCTCAATCGTGAGAAACAATTTGGAGTAGGAGACCATTACAACGGTACGTCGGTGGCCAGAAAGTCTATCCTTAGAAAGATTCTTTAGGCCCGTGGGACATTCCATGTACTCGAGAAAGTGTCAATTTTACGTGTTTAAATATCATCACTCTCAACTTCATGTTGCTTTATCTATCAATTTTTGGAGAAATTTTTATATGCTCGAAAAACAAAATGATACACCATGTCATAAAAATAAATGGAGGAAAGTTATTTTTCAAGTGTCCCCGAGTCCCTCCAGTTGTCTAATATAAGAGTAAATTGTAGCAATAGTCTCTTAACTCAATTGGAGCAATAGTCCATCAACTAAAAATCCATTACCATTGGTCTCTCAATGCATAAAAACGTGCAACTATGATCCATCAACTAAAAATCAAAAACCATTGGTCCTTCAATTTTAATTCAATCGGTGAAATGATCCCTCAACTTTAACCCAATTGGAGCAATGATCTCTCAATTTTAACCCAATAGTAGCAATGTTCATTCCAACATAACTCATTTTGACAAAATTTTAACGAAGTTGACGAGAATGACCATAGCTACATGTTTTGATGAATTGAGGAACCCCAATTGTAGGAATGATTTTTTCAACATAACTTATTTTGACAAAATTTTAACAAAGTTGATGAAAAGAACCGTAACTACACATTTTCACGAGTTGAGGCACCAATAGTAATGGATTTTTAGTTAAGGACCATTGCTCCAATTTGATTAAAATTGAAAGACCATTGCTACAATTCACTCATAATATAATAACTTGATGTACCACCTCGTGTTCCAAACACATCGAAAGATCTCTCTAACTTTTGAGCCCATATCCGAGCCAGCAGTCACGCCCATTCTTTTAGAACAAAATTCAAGTCCGGATGAACATTCATATTCCCTCCGAGGATGCCAGAAGTGATAAAACAAAATTGAAAAACCAATCAACAACGCGGGCATTTCGATTGATCGATTGATCGATTGATCGATTTGTCGAAAGAATGGCACAAATTCTAAGCCAGCATTAAGGTCGATTAACGATTAGTTTGTATTTTTCTTCCTCATTTCGGACTGCAACTGTCACTGTTTTGCAGAACTCCTTTTATCTCAAAGTAGTACCGAGAAGAAACGAAAAAAGAACGAGTAACCCTCACACATGTATAAAACCATTTATGCTGAAATGGAAAACCAAATGCACTTAAGTTGCAAACAAGATGAGCTACTTCAATAGAAAGACGGAACCCGAAACGGAAAAAAACATCAAAATCTTATTCCTCATCCTGTGTTTCCTTACCAAAAATTAAAATGGAAGAAAAAGGGGGAAGGGCGATGCGAACAGATCGACAGGAGCACGGGAGAACCCAAGGTATAAAAGAGAAAAGAAGCAAGCAACTGCAGGCCTACTAACCACAAGCCTATCTGAGACTAGAGACAGGACTAAGACCAGATATAATGAAGAGGTGAGCATGTACGAAACTATAGGCAAAAACAAGATCAGCAATTGAGCAGGGATCATAATAGCTTTTCTATAAAGACAAAGGTGGCATAATACAAAGCAGATCATAGCAAGGATCCCGCAAGGAGATACCTGGAAAGAACTGTGGGGCATGATCTAGCATTCTTACAATAACTAAACTCAATCCAACAGCTTCTTTCAGCCTTTTTCATGGATGTCTCCGGAGCTCTCTCCTACAAGCATCGAGGTTGCAATCAACACAAAAACCACATATGTTGAGACATACAACACACACACACACGCAACAAAGGCATTTTATGCATTCATTATTTATAAGAACACAAGAAACGACAATGTTTGATATTTCAAATTGAGAGGTTTTCTTGAAGTAGAAAGCGTTACTCTTAGCCCTGAACCAACTAAGCGGATGTCACACCATCAACCTTAGTGATACAATCATATTTAATCACACTGGATGTACTTCATGAGTGTACCTGACCTTCCTCCCCCTAATGCCAAAATCTTCCTAAATTGATCTCTGAGAAAATGACTAGAAAATGAAAACAAAAAAGAAAGAAACAAAAACAAATGAAGCCCAACAAATAAGAATATAAAACAACAAAGATTTGAAAAACTACCTGAATGTGTCAACGTCTAACTCTAGGCTTGCAGCGAAACTCGGCTAAAAGTGCAATATGATCTGATGACCACTCTGGAGAAGGAAGGGCTGTGTCTTTCCTTAAGCTTTCCTCATCCAAGAGTTCCAACAAGGACTCCACCGTTAAGGAGTCAGCTGCAACCACATGTTAACTTTATGAATAATGGTCTATCACAGTGAGGCATCAAAATGAACAGATCAAACAAATTTGTAATCCATAAACTTACCGGTGTAGAATATGTAATCTAGGGTACCAATGAAATCTCTAGTACAATTTGTAAATAACGGCTCATTTGTGGTGGGATCCATTCTCCTTCTCAGCTGCTCCATCCCAAGACCAACTCCCAATCTTGCAAATGATGAATATGCACTAACCTGAGAGTTGCAATAGTAATTCAGATCAACACAAGCCCTATAACCCAAAAACATGCACATTCCACATTCCCAACAATAACAACAAAAAGATGATCAAGAAGGGAGTACAATAGAAAGCATGTATTACCAGTGGTAGCTGATGTATCAGCTTACTGAGAGGGCGCAGTATATTAAGAGGATCCACTTGTAAATCTGTATGCAATGGATCTACCTTTCCCATAGCCAGAAGTGTATGAGGAGCGCTGTAACAAAGTTCAGCAGTACCTTAAGCAAGCAACATACCAGTAATAAATTCTCGAATGCAATTAAAAATCATCAGTAACAATCAACAGACCTTCCAGGAACTGAATTAAAATCCCCACACACCAGCATCGGGATATCTGCACTGGCAGCTATTTTCTCTAGTCCTTTTAAAAGAGTATGAACCTGATAAGAAACACAAGAAAACACAATATTAGGAACAGCTTCTATGCCGGTAGGCATAAGGGCATGATTAGTTTAACAAATCTCACTGCACACTTTCGGAATGCCATTTTATAAATGATCAAAACCATACACTACTGTATATGGAAGAACCAAAAATACAAGATACCTGCCAGAGTTTGACATCCTTCAGATCTTGGTGGACATTTACATGCGTATTTGCCTGTATTCCATACCATCAGAAAAACGTGTTACAAGATGCCTTGAAAGATGCCCGTGCATTGAAATTGGGGCAGTTGAAAAGATTACAAATCCCAAAGAGTACAACAAATTCAACTTACAAGACCATTCAAATATTACAAGTACAAAAACACAACATGCATGTCCTACCACACAAAGAAGTTGCCGTTTCCCAGGATTATCAGCTCCCTGATTGCTGAATTTTGCTTCCAGAACCACAATGAGCGCAACATTATCCTACACACACATTGAGATCCAGGCATGAGCTTCCTAGATCAAGATCAATTTAAAAAGATCAGGTTCAGCAAAAAAATCCATAAATATCAAGCCCACCTTAACTAATCGATTTAAAGCACTTTTCTTCTGATTACTTGGAATCATTGCATCAGTCAAAGACTGAGCAGCCTTATTAAATTCAACCTGCATAAACACAAATTGCTTCATACTAAGAACGAAATAAAACATATATATATGAACTGTTATATCTCGCACTCCCAACCTCATATTTTTTGACATGGGAAAATCTATCTCTACGGAAAAATGTTGCACAACCATCAATTGTTTGTGTGTTTCCATTGTAAACCTGAAGCCAAAGAATGCAAATTAAAGGCCAAAAGAATTTCAAAAGCCATGCACATAAGTCAGATGAAGTTTATTCAAGCTATAATATGTATAAAGGATGAGCTAAGAGACCTCATTTGTTTTTCTCTTGTATAGTGCTTGATAACCATGTTTGTCCAGCTCGGGGGCAAAAAATTCCTCGAAATGATCACTTTGAACCTGAGAGGGACAATGATCAGTTCGAACATCACAAAATGCATAGTTCTTTCATAACTTACACTGAAATGGATGAGCTCTTTATGACATGTAGCATTCACTAATTCCACATATCTAGTTGAATAATACCCTAATCTTCATGAATCCAAGAAAATTGGCTTGAAGATATCAAGACATTTGAGTAATGCTCTAATTATCAATATCAAAATTATTAAAAAGGAAGTTAATGAAATGAACTGATCAAGCATGAATGTGTACCTCCTGAAGACAAACAATATCTGCGCGATAGCCAACAATTTCCCGCAGCAAATTTTGCCTGCGGTAGGGCCACGAAAGTGCCCATGAAGGGCAGTAACTGTATGATTCACTGGTGGCATACACATCAGACAAAATGTTGTATGAAAGCACAGTAAAAGTTCCAGAAGATGAAATACGGCCATCTGAATCTAAATGCCCCATGACGTCAACTCCATTGACAGGAACTAGACGCCGTGGACTGGGAGAGGGTGCTGGAATGACACGGGAAGTTAATATGGTATTGACATGTCCCACAGGTACTTTTGATTCAGCATCAACTACAACGCATTCAAACTTAAGAACATGCCCAATATCATCAGCCGTTGGTGTATACGTTTTAGAGCGGCCCACTTCAAACCATGTTTCACCACCACTCCTTTGTGTAACAGCTGCAGGATATAAAGGTGCTGAACCATTCGTCAAACTCATGCTTGACACGGAACCAGATAAGCTAGTGTTAAGGACTCCAGATCCAGAGCTATTGAAGCGTCCAAACACCTCTTCTTCCTCATTTCCATTTTCATTTACAGCAGTAGCAGCACGGTCATGCAAAACACGGTGATGCTGCCATGCATCTGAGAAGCACTTAGGTGAACAATGGTAACTTTTGGCAACAGGTATTTTGGCCTTAACGCAACCTAGACACTGCAATGTGGCTTGCTCAGATGGATGTACACTACAGATAGCAACTTTTTTATCACTTTGTACACGATACCTGCAACCAAGATCAAGAATGGGGCAACATAAATCACTGAAACCGTCATTAAACCAAAAAATAAAAGATTTAATCCATATTAAAGATGTTTATTTTAAAGAAAGATTTATCAATATTTAATCAATCTGAAGCCTCAACATCAATCAGCTTGCTCAATTTACTAGTTCCCTAGCTTACCTCACTCTACATATGGAAACAATGTTGAAGATCAATTATGTATTTAAGAAGGATAAAAATTTGTCAACTGATTCATGTTGGAACCTAAGCATCCTCTAACCAAATTCGATGCGCTAAAGTGACATAGACATGTAAAATCCAACAGTAAATACTAATTCTCATCAATTTTTGTATAAGAAAGAACGGACGTCATGCCAAGATCTTGTCAATATGTGCAATATCAGGTGCCTGGTAAACAGGTAAATATGCTGACCCAAATCAACTATCATCATCATATGTGCTATCAGGTGCAAAGTAAGCACCCAATATTTTGTCATTGAATGATCAACTATCATCATCATATGTGCTATCAGGTGCAAAGTAAGCACCCAATATTTTGTCATTGAATGATAGAATCTCATCACGTTAATTGCATAACACAAAGCTTAAAGGAGTACGTGACATTATTTCACCCCACATGACCGGAAAAATAAAATTTAGTGCGTCCTCTGACACGACTAACTGCCGACACTAAAATATAAGCTTTGAAAATATCCTCTAGTTGGTTTATAACACAACAGCCCAACTGATGAATAAGAATTTAGGTCAACTGCACATCAAACGGAGAGCGAAACAAGGGTTCCTTCGTAAAATAATCTATCGTATTGGCCCACTGGAAAATATCCCCTTTTTATAACAAACTTAGAAGATTAACCTGCTTTGGACTTGAAAGGACAAAAATGCGGTCAATATATGAATCAAGATGTGGATTGAGATCTCGAATATCTAAACCGCAATCTCAGCCGACATCTTAACTTGATCTTGATTGTGAATTGGCCCTAACGTCACCTAAAACAGGTTAGTTTTAAATTTTATTTTTTAAAAGGTTAGTTCTCTAATGGGACCAATGCAAACTGGCTATCATTGAAAAAACCCAAAAATAAATATGGAAAGATAATTAAAAGTTAGTCAAAATTCAGTCAGGTTTTCTCTCTTTCTTTTTATTTTTTAATTTTTTTTTATAGAATAAAAGAATGGGAAAAAGAAATTGCAAATTCTGGACGTAGGTGCAAACGTAAGCGTTATACCGGTGGAGGATAGTATCTATAAGTGGAGTTATAAGCCGCAGCCTGCCTACTAGTTTTCACCACAAGCTCAGAAGCAGAATAAATGCTTTAATATATTTTTAATACATACAATTGGGCACTCCGAACACACATGTATTAACACACAAAAAGAGTAGTAATGCAAACTGGATTTCCAAACCAGTATCAACAATTTGACGTTTATCAGTGCTACAGTTGTTGCAGCATTCATAACTCTCCTAATAATTCTTACTATAACAAACTATTCTAGACTTGTAAACTCTAACTCGTAACCCAATTTGGCCCGGTTGTAATTTACCAAATGAGCTTTGAGTCAGGGACAAATCATTTACCTTTTATTTAAAGTAAATAATGCTATTGAGATCATCAAATTTTTCCAATTCAATTACACAATTGAAGGCAATTAGTACGGTAAAGCATCATCAGAGAAAAATCTACACAGAATTCAAATCCAAGAACAGAATTAAACAGTGATGAATGTAGAACTACAAATATACAAACTTACCAAATGATGTTATGGAAAAAAAAAAACACACCAAAAGATACAATACATGAACAAATTACACTAAGATTCTACACACCTAGAACCTTTTCCCTATAGACTATAATAAAGCTACAACCTTTGCCAAAACCCGCGTAACAACACTACCAAACAAACCAACCCAGAAGCCCCAAATAAGCTCAAAGCCCCCAAAAAACCCGAAAACCAAATGAAGCATATAAAAAATGATAAACAACAACTGAAATTGATCGGGGAAATTGTCACTTACCACTTGTACCTCAAGAAGTGGCCATCAAGAGGGGCTGACTCCGGCACATCGTCTGTCGTGACATTCTTGTCAGGCCGGCGCAGGAGCACGTATGGCGTGAGCTCGCAGCCTACAATGGGAATATCCGAAGGGAGGTGCACGCGTAGCACGCTCAGCATGCTTTGTTTTCGCTTCTCACTCTAGGCAGCAGCAAAAATCTTGACAGCAACGTAACCCTATCCTACCCAATCGAGAGAAAACACACGAGCGATGGAGGCGGATACCAGGCGGATCCGCCATTTACTTGACCTGAATCCCCGCCAGCCTTGACGGAGCCGAGAACCCCAAAACCCTAAAAGAAAAAAATCAGTCCCTGAAATCGAACGCCACAGATCGAGAGCTTTGGCTTGGGAAATTGTGGGGTTTCGGAGAGGGCGGAGAGGGAAAGAAAGGGTCTTCTTTTTCCTCAAGAAGTGATTTAAGTGGATCGATTGGCGGAGAGGGATCGAAGATTGTAGAGAGATACAGAGGGATAGAGAGAGAAAGTTGGGTTTCTTGAGAGAGAAAGAGGGAGAAGGGAGGAAGGGGATCGATAATTAGGGTTTTACAGAGGAAGTGAAAGTAATCTTGTTTGCCTCCAAGTCCATTTCCTGAATTGAGAGAGACACAGCGAAGAGAGAGAGAGAGAGAGAGAGAGAGAGACGAGGGAGGTGGCTCTGGCTCTCTTCTTTTATACCGTACGAGTCTCTATACGACTTTAGCATTGGTGTTGGTTTCTCTCCCATTTTTGTTTTTGTTTTTGTTTTTTTATTTATTTTTGAGCGTGTGATTGTTTTCGTGGTGTTTTTTGCCCCTTTGCCCTTTTTGGGTTTTGGATTTGGTTTCAAGAAGTTTCCAACTTTTATCTGGCTATAATACTTGGTAGGTTATATGATGAGACCATTAATAGTTAGATATATTAGTTTAATGGTTTAAATAAAGAATATAAGTATCAACTGTTGTGTTTTGTGGTTTACAAAATATAATTTAATTAGATGGTATCTCTATTATTGAAATAAGAATTTGTGTTTTATTCATTGTTCTAAAAATTTCCGCTTAGCGCCGTCTAGGCCCCACTTAGGCTTTAGGTAGCTGGTCACCACCCCAATTAATGTTTAAGCGTTTGAAAATTAAAAAAGAGCGCCTAGACTAGCTAAGGCACTTGCCTAGACCGCTTAGGCCTCCCATACCCTCCTAGGCACCTGCCTAGGCTGCAACTCACTTAGATAGAAAATAAATAACTTTCAATTTGCATTTAATTTTTTTCAATAAATTGTAAGAGATTTGTTGAATACTTAAATGAGCACACACTATATGCTTGTTCCCCATGTTTTCATTATGTTCCAATACTTCATAATACATATGTCATTCTATTTTGTAGTTTATGATAAAATTATATATATTTTAGGTATAAACATACACTTATTTACACGAAATATAATGGATTTACTTAAATCCGCCTAGTTCACCTAGATCCCGCCTATCCGCCTAGGCGCTAAACCGCAGTCCGCCGCCCGACTAGCTCCTAACATATTTTAGAATCTCTATTTATAAATGGATTTATTAGATTAATTTTTAAAGTTGGGAGCAAAATAATTGGAAATTCGGAGAGAGCAATTAGAATTCCTATTCATGATGATTTTAGCATATTTTATATTTGTTTATCTAATTTTGTTCGAATTTTCAACAATTGGCATATTCTTAGGGTAAATTATATTTTAACACTTAATTTTGGGTCACATAACAAACACATACCTTATTTTTTAATTATTGCAAATGTTATACATCAACTTATGAATTCGTTGTAATGTCAGACATCTGTTAATCTATACATTAATTTACCGCTAAATAATGTGTCAATTGTGATCCCACATTTTACTGATGTGATGTCAAATTTAGATCACGTGCACAAATAACCAATTAAAATTATATGAAATTATGAAATGGTATGGCAGGGTAGCAATGGGTTTTGTGATCCAGTGCAGCGGTGCAACGGGTTGGGGAAGCTAACGTTAGGTCTTTTGAATTTAATATAAAGATTGTATTATATTTTCATAATTTTAATTTGTTGTTTGTTCACGTGACATAATCTTGACATAACATCAAAAAAAATATGAGACTCACAGTTGACACATCATCATTTTACGATTAAATTAATGAATTGACTAACGAAGGTTTGACATTATAATAAATTTGTAAGTTAATGTATAACATTGCAATTGCAATGTTCAAAAAATAAGATATAAGTTTGTTACCCAAAATTGAGGATGCAAAACATAATTTACCCTTCTTGATGCCATCTCATTGGTAGTGAATATTTTGCATGGAAGGGTTTGTTCAGTTTACAAAGGTATTAAGCATGAGCACAAACAAGCATATTTTTCTGTCAAAGTTTCTTAGAATATGTGTTATTTTCTTAAAATATTCATCACAACCAACCTTGTTTTGCTCTTGGACTAGCGAGGCATAAGTGAAGGTGTTTTATGTACATGTGCATGCATGAAGACATAAGTGAAAGTGTTTTCCCCATGTATTTTGTTTGAATTTCTGATGTGATTGGCAAGGGAATACATCAATTGCTCGTTTCTTGGCAAGAAACTCTAGTTTTCCTTCATGGATTTTGGAATGAAGGATTTTTCGCAAAGTCTGGCAAGCAGTGGAAAGATGTCTCACGAATTGATAATATATCTCGGATCCTTCTTGTCTTCTCCAGAGATAGGCTTGTAAAGTCTTGGTGGTTTAATGGCTCCGGTGGCAAATATGGTGTCTAAAAGAGCATGGAAATCTTCATCATTTCACAACAACGGTAGGCAAGCTTATCTGCCTTTATCTCTATCTCCCCACTTACTTTCGTGGGTTGAAGTGGCTTGTGACTTATTATCAAGGGCCAAGGTTTTGTGTGCTTCCCTCTTTTCATTCTTCCCAGACCATATTGTGGTTGCTTAACAGATATGTTAGTCTTTCTTATTACTGCAAAAAGCCTCAAGAATTGGTCAAACCAATATTCTTAAGATACATTATGTACTTCGGAGCAATATTTGTTCATGCAAACTTTCACAAGGGCATCTTCATCTTTTTTATCGTAACAATTGAGAGTTAGGTCTAGGAAACAACGTAGCTAACTAATAAGCTAAGCTCTTCTCATGCTTTTGGCAAGTATTGTTGAGTTGGGTTGTGGCAACCTCTCTTCATTCTACAAGACTACAAATACTTACAAAATTTGTTCGCCAGATCTTTCCAAGTTTGGATAGAACTTGGTATTAGTGTAGTATATCATGTATAAACACGATCAGTGAGACTCTTTGACAATTTTCGAATCAGGATATTATGATCGTCGTCTTGAGGTTGTAATGAAGAATCTTATATGCTTCTTTGGGCTATCATTTCGTTTTCGATTGTTCCAGCTACGTCATTACTTTTTGGTGTAATACTTTAGAGAAGCAGTAGCTCAATGGGCTACCTTAACGGTCAGGGACAGTCTAGAGATTTTTGAGTCCCGGGCCGACGCCAAAAAATATGTCATCGCTTTATATAAAAAAATTATTTGTTTTTACACGTAAGACATTGATAAAATTATATTTAGAAAAACACTTCAAACTCAGTAATTTAGAAACATGGAAAAACTAATTTATTTTGTATTGAGAGAAGGAAACCAAAAAATTTCAAGCTTACAAGTAGATAGATTATGAGTTTTGTCTTCCATCTTATTTACTAACCTCGTCAATATAAGACTAAAAAAATAATGATATTTTCAAGTCTTTAAGGATATGTAAAAGTAATGCATGGGCACCAAATTAAACATTTCGATGACACGTCATATGATTTGCAAATTTGGTCTAAAATTTTAGTCTACGCATTACCCGTTGTTGAAGATTAGACATGAATTGGAATGCATGTTTAAAAATAGCAACCCACATAGTTATTAGCTAGTAATTAAAAATAAATTAACAACCAAATAAAAATTCGTAAAAATTGAAAACAATAAACATGCACATAGCATTTCGAACTTAGGACCTCTTGTCCTAATTTTAAATACAAAAATCATTGCTTCTAATCAAACTTCTGATCATTTAACCAAATTTAATAATTTATACTATTATGAAAGGAACTTTGTAAAAATTGGAATTTAAATAAGCACACACGGTGTTTTGACCCAAGACCTCCTCATTAATTTCAAACAACAAAATCACTGGTTCTAATTAAATTTCTTTGTCATTAAACCAAAATTTTTATAAATTTATACTCTTATGAAAATGTATATAAATATGTCACACTAATAATTTTGGTGCCACTAATTTTTTTAGGCTTCGGACAGTTGTCAAGCCCTCATTGGGCCTGGGTCGACCATGGTAACGGTCCACATCGCAACTTAAACACCTTTATTTGGCTTGGCCCATTTAAGTATGTGAACTGATTTGACATGGTAAAAATGGTTTGGCGTGACTTGAATTTAGATGGTAGGTATCAATGAATTAATATGTTAATGTACTATAATGTTATTTTATAGAGTCACAGTTATTTGGTGTTGATTTGAATGATGTGCCAGCTGGTAGTGAGGACGTTTCCCCTAATCATGCGTCTCAGTTAAGCTCTGGGTCTCTCGGTGGTATGGCAGACAGTGGGTTGGAACTATGTGGGCCTCAACTCCCAATTAGGTCTGAGTCAGCATTTTGCCCTTGTGGACCACAATGTGAATCGTAACCAGATGGCAAATGTTTTGGGTTTTCCTGGGGCTGGGAATTTTGAACTGGCTTAGATCATTTCAATCTTATGCCAATTATTGAGCAGCTCCAGCAGAAGCGAAGGAAGAAATCGCGTAGACATCACATAAATGGTGGTTTTCTAATAGGTAGCTCGTTATCCATTCCCAGGATAATCTCGGGTCCCCATTACTGGAGCTTGGAAAACGTCTTCTAAGGGAAGGTCAGGAGTTAGAGGCCCCTCCTAGAGGACGTAGGAAACTCATGGATAAGGTGTAGACGCTTAGTTTATCGGCGGAGGTCGACGAAGTTCAACCCCGCCGGGCACAATGAGTTGCTTGAGTTGGAACTGCCGAGGGCTTGGGAACCTTTGTGTAGTTCACGCGCTTCAACGCCTAATTCATAGTAAAGATCCCATGGTAGTGTTCCTATGCAAGACTAAAAGCAATGCTCGTTAGATGGAACGTTTATGCTTGAAATTGAACTTTGATCAAAGTTTTACAGTAGATAGTAGAGATAACTCGGGTGGGTTTTATGTGTTATGGAAGGAAGAACTCAACTTGAACTTGCGGTCTTACTTGCAGAATCATGTAGATTTTGATGTTGGGATGCCAGGGGATTTGAAGTATTAAAGGTTCGTTGGATTTTATGGTTTTCCGGTAGGGAGTGATCGGGCTAAGTCTTGGCAGCTACTTGGCACCTTATGTGGGACTGCGACTCATCCTTAGCTTTGTATTGGTGAGTTTATTGAGATTCTCCAAGCTAATGAATAGGAAGGGGGTAATCTTCGGAGCAATGGACAAATAGAGGGCTTTTAGGAAATAATGGAGACGTGTAGGTTCATTGATTTGAGATATTCTGGGAATAAGTACACTTGGTTCACTACAAGAGGCGGTGGTATTAAGGTGCGGCTAGACTGTCCATTGGGCTCTTAGGAGTGGATTGATCTATTCCCATAATTTAGAATGCAGCTTTTGAATAAGACATCTTCTGATCATG